CGGCGCTCAGCCTTCTTTATGGTCCAGCTCTCACAGCCATACATTACTACTGGAAAAATATCATTGATGATGTTATGACAAGTATGAAGTCATTTCATACTTGTCATGAACTCTTTCCCCTACTCCCCTATGAGTAAGCACCCCTTTTTTGACCTCACATCCATCCTTGGCAAGATTAGATAGACAAAGTAAGATAGATCCAAATTAATTCAAAAGATTCTGCCCCCTTTCCTATTATAGAATAATGGTAATAATAGAAATAAACATATGAGAATTGATAAAAGCTGCTTTATACTTTTCATTAAAATATTTTTACAGCCCTTGAAAATCTGGAAGGCCAAGTCCTGCCAAATGGGTCATCTCAGGAGGAGCTTCAGCATCAAATCAATTCCTACTCTCTTGAGAAGGTGCAACAGTATTATCGCAAACTCAGGTACTATCATATCAGAAGAACACTGTAGACAGCCTTGGCAACTGGATCAAAATTATTTTTAAAAATGTATCCATCTTACCAATATACATGACACTTCACATTAGGGAAGCTAGGAAGTTTTATTCTGCTGCTAGAAATTGACTATTTGAGTTGAATTCATACAAATTGGAGTTCCTTTCAAATTTAATAATATGTAGCAGAGAGGGGGATCAAAGAGAGGACAATAGAAGGCTGGAACTGGAAATAGACTGTCAAAGCTGGGAGCTAGATTTGGGGAAGATGTGGAAAGGAACAAGTGAGAAGAAAAGTGTGGGCTCATTCCATAATTTGTGTGGACCTGGCCCACCACTTGTACTCTTTTATAATTGTAGAAGAATTGGAATTGGAAATCTGTCTAATTTTAATGTATCATTACTCTTTGGACCATCCAGGTATAATTAGGCCATGTGTGGGCCTGCAGTGATTGGTTCCTTTTGGGAATTAAAATCCTTCATAGGAATGCTTGAAACTGCATAATCACAAGCTAATTATTGCTTAATTTCAGGACATTTTACCTTGAACGATCCAACTTGCCTACAGATTCAAATACCACAGCTGTGAAAATTCATCAGGTATAAAACCCTTTCTGCTCATATACTCAGTTGTTTGGCGAAGTGGGAACTGGAGAGGCTGCTACTTCAACTGTTAGGATGAAAGCTGTTGCTTATAATCTAACAGTCACAGAAGGAGATAGATCAAACTTAACGTACTGTGTGAAATGGATCAAGCCAGACCTCATTATTAGCTAGAGCAGGCTTCCAGAACTTGGTGCCTTCCAATATGCTCCCAGCTGTATCTGAAAGGTGATTGATTGAAGGGAGCTGGCTTAACCAAATGCTTTCACCCAGTGCAAAATAGCGCAATAACATTTTCCAAATGTCCTCCAGGTTTCTTCATACATATTTTAAGTGTATAGCTAAAAAAAAAGTGAAACGGATGAATTTAACTGTCAGGAATGTCAAACTACAGATGCCAAACTATATGTGCAATAGGTAAAGTTCCAAGGTTACCTGTGGCCTATCTAGTTTCGCTAGTGCATGAGTGAAATGGTCTTCCAGTTTCCACTTCATAATCCTGGATTGTCCTTTGGGGTTTTAGTTAGCCACTGAAAAGGAAATGTACAGACTTCAAACTTTTTAAGCCTGCTGGGTTTTTTTTTTTTCCTTCCCACACCTAAATTCAGCTTTAAAGAATAATCAGGATTGGGACCTTATTGCAGAGAGAAAGGATCAAACCATTCCCTATACCACAAATATTAATTCAATTCATTATTTTCTCCCATAGCTGCTTTCCGAACAATAAAAAATTACATGGAGAGCTCCAGCGTAACTTTCCATACAATCCCAATTCTCAATAGACTAGCATCTGTATTCTAATTATTCATTAGAATAATTTGTGCCTTCAAGTAATTATTCAGTATTACTGTTGTTATTATTTTGTGCCTTTGAGTCAGTCGTGACTCCTGGGGACTGCCTGGACAAGTCCCTGCAGTTTTCTTGGCAAGATTTCAGAAGTGGCTTGCCATTGCCTGCTTCCTGGGGCTGAGAGAGTGACTGGCCCAAGGTCACTTAGGCTTCGTGCCTAAGGTGGGCCTAGAACTCATGGTCTCCCAGTTTCTAGCCTGATGCCTTAAAGACTGCACCAAACTAGCTCTTGTATTCTAATTTAGAAGCTCCTAAAATTGCATGGACTTTTCCATGTAGTTTCCAGGAGTCAAGACTGACCCGAAGGCCCAAAATAATAACAGTAATACTGAATAAGGGATTGTAGTGGGTATGACTTTCAGAAAGGAAAGAAACTAAGTTGTACTAAGACAGGTTTTCTATTCCTTTGCAGCTTATTCGGCCCATCAATGCAATGGAGGAGCTTTGCAGACTAATGAAATCTTTTGTCAGCGCAAAAGGCAATCAGTCTGGGTATTCCAGTAATTATGTAGCAGGGGCTGGATTGCTGCCTATATCTTCCGAATTCTGTTACCGCCTTGGAGCCTGCCAGGTTGTAATGTGTGGCACTGGGATGCAAAGGTGAGACTTTTCCAAACCAATTTGAGTTCCCCTAAGTTTTGGGGTGGGCTGCAGAAAATGACATGGAGGGGCTGCAAGTTTGAGACTGCAGTCCAGATTGTAGACATTTTACATTAAGGCCTTATGATAAATCTAAAAGCCTGTAGGCTATGTTGGTCTACGAAGAAAAAAAGTCCAATTTCCACAATTGGTACTATCTTTATTATTCGTAAAAAATAAAGTTGAATTTGCTTTCAGTATAGACCTATAACATTTTAATATAATTTGCACCTTTATTACGGTTGATGTTTTTTAATCTTGATTTTTGGTTTTTAAATGATTTGCTGCTCCTGTTGTTGTATAGGGATACATTGCCAATTTTTATATGGCTTATTTAATATTACAGCTTGGCTTCTGGTGACTATAGAAATGCATCCATGTTGTTTTCTTGGCCATAGTATAGAAGTGAGACTATTACTCACCTCTGGATTTTTTTTTTTTTTTTACTTCCCAGTCTGGAATTTCCTGGTAGTCTTCCACCTATGTATTAACTAGGTCTGACCCTGATTAGTTTTTGCAAGATCAGCCACTTAGAACCAATTAAAATATCATAAAAGAGTGCACGAGGTTTTGAATTCTTGAGAACTTTTAATCAGGCAAGGTATCACAAAAAAAGGGAATGGAGAAAAAGCAAGAAAGTCTAAAAAATTAGATCAGATGTTTCATCCTTGATGTCTACGACTAACGTCCTGAGTCCCGAGATTGGTTCTGAATTAAATACATATTGGCTCCCATGGGTTGCTGGTGCTAAATTACATCTAGTGTTCAAGGACAATGAAGATGGTTGCTATCCCAGCTCTGAAAACACAAATGCTTGTTTCAAATGAGGACTCTCATGATTAAATTTTGTCCTGCAAACAGCACAAAATCTTCTATCCCAACATTTAGTTTTCCACATAGAGAGATCTAGAGGGGAATGGGGAGGGGGGGGGGAGGAGATTGAAAAGCATCAGCTTGGAGTCTCAAAGGTCCAGACGTAAGTCCATACCTATAATCATATAAGGCAAAGTCAAGGCAGGTTTACAACTTCAGCAGGTACTGGGCCTAACTGGTTAGTTTTGGTTTCTGCTGATACTCTGCAGAGAGCTGACTTAAATTACTTTATATTTTTTTTTACTTTCCATGCATTTTATAGAGAGTTTATATTCTATTTTCAGATGCGATCATTTCAAATATTATATTTCACTTGTTCACAATTGGAGATACATTTTAAAATGTTCTTTCAGTTAATGTATTCACACCTCATCTGTCCCTTAATTCAAGAATGACAAAGAACTCTTGGGTGAACATGCAACATTAAATAAGCCATATAAAAATTGGCAACGTAGTCCTATACAACAACAATAGCAACAAATCAATTTTTTGATTGAAAAGCAAGATTAAAGTGTAAATGATATTAAAATGTTATAGGTCTATATTTAAATAATTTATATTCATGGTGTTTTAAACTGGGGAGTGGGATCTTTAAATTATCAAGAGTGGTGTACAAAAATTAGCTACAGTCTTATCCATATCTTGTAAGTCCTTCTCAGATATCTGTCCCATGAATTTGAATAAACTTACAGGAAAATATGTACAGCAAGATGGGCAAAATTTCTCAGGCCATGCCCCACACTTGGTCTTTATGTGGTGCCATTACAATTGCATTCCCTAAGGTAGGCATGAACGGGACAGAATGAGTGGGGCCAGGGCAAAGAATTGATAGGGACTGCAGAAAACCTAAAGGTAATAGAATTTAACAGAAATGTGGAGATAATTGAAATAACACAATATTTAGTAAATGCATTAATGTGACATTCAGTCATTTTTACTTCTATGACATTAGAAATGTATAATTTGGTGACACATTTTGGAGAGTACTCCGGGAAGGGTGGGGCCGCTGGCAGCCTGGTTATAGATATCTGATATATACAGTGGGGCAAAAGAGTATTTAGTCAGCCACCAATTGTGCAAGTTCTCCCACTTAAAAAGATGAGAGAGGCCTGTAATTTTCATCATAGGTATACCTCAACTATGAGAGACAAAATGGGGAAAAAAATCCAGAAAATCACATCAGCAACAGTGTGTGAAAACCTTGTGAAGACTTACAGAAAACGTTTGACCTCTGTCATTGCCAACAAAGGATATCAGCAACAGTGTGTGAAAACCTTGTGAAGACTTACAGAAAACGTTTGACCTCTGTCATTGCCAACAAAGGATATCAGCAACAGTGTGTGAAAACCTTGTGAAGACTTACAGAAAACGTTTGACCTCTGTCATTGCCAACAAAGGATATCAGCAACAGTGTGTGAAAACCTTGTGAAGACTTACAGAAAACGTTTGACCTCTGTCATTGCCAACAAAGGATATCAGCAACAGTGTGTGAAAACCTTGTGAAGACTTACAGAAAACGTTTGACCTCTGTCATTGCCAACAAAGGATATCTTGCCTATTGCAGATTCAGTCTTCCCAGCCTGGTGCAGGTCTACAATTTTGTTTCTGGTGAACTTCGACAGCTCTTTGGTCTTGGT